GCAGGCCCCGTGGAGGCATCAGCCACACCCGGACACGACCACGCAGGCGCAGCCCAACCTCAACGCGGACACGGGTTGGAGGCCGGGGCCTGCTCCTAACACAGCAATGACGCCGGCTTTAGAAGCCGTCAGTTTTCACTGGGTTCTCGCGAGGCACAGTGTTTCTCAGTATTTCTGTACTCATCGCTTTCTTTGAATGCAGTTGCTTCAACTATTTTTCTTTTTTTTTTAGAAGAAGGATTTTTTTTTTAAAGATTTATTAGTGCATACAGAACTGGGGTACAGGCCAGAGGCTCGGGGGCGGCGAGAGGCTTCACCAGAGACAGAGTGGGGAGCAGAACAGGCAGATCGACGAAGCACACTGCTGAGGGGAGCAGCGGGCGGGTCAGGAGAGGTCTGCCTCGCCATGTGGTCACCTCCGGGGCAGGCGGGGATCGAACTCATGTGGAAGCAGCTTTATATTCTCAGTGCTGTGCTTTAACCCGCTGCGCCACCAGGGAGGGCCCAACTATTTTTTTTTTTTTTAATGGCTAAAGCATGATGAAGCAAATCCTAGCTCTTTAAATCATTTCACCTTTAGTAAATTTTTATTGAATGTTGGCCAGAAAAAAATTTCAGAGGTATCTCACTATCAAGTTAACAACAACATGTAAGTACTGAACAAATTGGGGGGTTGGGGTGGGGCGCAGGAGGGAGCCCGGACGAGAAGAAAACCACTGGAAGTGAAGTAGTATTAGCAAAAATATAACTTGCATTAGAGAAAGCAACTAGCTACTAAACAACTAGTAAAGCTGCACCTATGTTTTGAACCTTGAAGACAAAGCTACTGAATGTCCTTAATTTAATTTTGAATTCTATACAAAGTATTTCTATCAGTAAAGGCTTTCTGGATGGGAACTGAGGAAAGGAAGAAAGGTTAGAAAGAATTATTGAAACCAATAAAAAAGGACGCCTTAAAAAAGAAAAGCAGTGCATTACCATGATGTAAATTCTGTAACATATGCCAGCTGGGTTTACTTATAATTTAAATCTTTTCTCCAAACGCTATCAAAATAATGATAACACTAAAGTAACGGCTGCATTGTGGTTGCAGAATGTGTCTAAGTTATTACAAAGTTATTCTATGCACACACATTTGTTAGCAGGCACAGAGGACTGAATCAGGCACATGGTCACAGCTCGCTGGTTCAGAATACTTACGTACTGTCATAGTGATTTCTCACTGGGTAACTCCATGAAATAAATCTTTACATTAACTTCAAGCCTGGGGGAAGTCAACAATCATGCAACAGCGAAAGCAATTTCAGATCCCTTCCGCACGTAATACAGACTTCATTCACTGCTCTAGCCTCCCACGCAGTCCCCTCTAGGGTCCCGCAGACAGGACCCTGTGGGTCAGGATGCATGTGTCACTCCTATTTGAAAGATGAGGAAGTTAAGTCTAAGAGGGACTAGACATCCTCCAAATTTGCACTTGATCTATTAATTCAAGAAACATTTATCAGCTTAGCACGAGCTTGAGGAAGAAGCCCCCAAAGATCATGATGGGGACAGAGGAGAAAGAAAACACTGAGCATCTGTGGCAGCCAGGGATGAAGGCACCCTGCGGTAAGGGCAGGCGTGGAAAGGAAGTATGTGTCGCCATGGAAACTTGCAGGAAGAGGCTGGGGGACCAAGAAAAGCTTTCTGCAGGAAGTGATGTCCGGCTAAGACATAAAGATCTAAGAGAAGCTGATCACCACAGAAGTGCAGCCTGACAAGCGGGGTGTCACCCCAAAATGCGAGTGCAGAGGCGGCTGAGCACGCAGGGTGGACAAGACTGAAGGTGGCTGGGTCTGTCTAGCTGCTCCACCTGGGATGTGGCCAGAGCAGGGGTGGGCGGTCACTGAGCGCACTGGACTACTGTGAGGGAGCCCTTGCTGGGGGGGAGGGAGAGCCCCACTTTAGGAAACCCTCCTGGCTACAGGCAGAACAATGACCCAGGTGGAATCGACAGCCGCTGATGGAAGACAATGAGTAAAGGATATGAAAGGGAGGGTGGAGGAGAGGGCTGGGCAGGAGGAGAGTCACCAAGCCCAGCAGACCTCAACTTCTGGGGACAGAGGGCGGGGGAGGAGTGAGGAGGAGTGAGGCTTCTCGTTAAGCTGAGACGCTTGGAAGTGGTTTCTTGGGCCTGGAACGCAGACAAGATGGCGCAGCGGGAGGCAGAGATCTGGACGCGATCTGCACACGTGCCGCAAGCGAGGCTGCCGGGCTGGCGCTTCCCAGCGAGCGCGCGCGGTCAGTGTTTCCAGGACAGAAAGCGAATGGGTGCTCTGGCAACACGGGAGACCCGGGGGAGGCGCCGGAGGAACCGCGGTTGGCGAGGCCCGCGGGACAAGCGAGCCAGCCTGGAGCCAGCCTGGACACGAGGGACAGCAGCAGGGTCGCCAGCAAAGTGGGCTGTGCCGAGGAGGAGGAGGGGGCGGCGCGAGGGCGGCTGCTGGCAGGCGGCGGAGGGCGGACGGCAAGACGCCTGCTCGGCCGGGGGCGGCGGCAGACAAGCGAGAGAGCACAGGAGAGCTGGAGCCGGCCCGGCCGTGCCAGGCTGCTCTGACCCGGGAGGAAGGGGAAGGCGCCCAGGACCCCCGTGGCGGGGCTGGGGCGTGGGGTGGGGTCCCAGTCCGCCTGGCGGACCCCAGCCTGCAGCCTGGATTTCCCACGGTTCTTCTCACGTCACCAGCTTCTTCCTCCCCTGCCCGCCTCCCTGTGGTTCATCAGCAAGTTCAGCAAACAGACCTGAAACTGTAACCCAATCTGAGGGGCCTCACTCCCAAGGCAGAGTCTCAACAGCTTCAAAGCTCACCCTAAAACCCCACTGAGCCACACACGTCCTCCGTGGTGAGCGCGGGCGCGGCGGGCCAATGTACACCCTCGAGCTCAGACGGGCTCCCCGCTGCGGTCCTGCCGAGACCCCAAGGGTTCAAGGTCAGCTGGCCCGGGATGCCCCAGGGCTGTCTCCTCCTCTTGTAGTGCAGATCCACTCAGTATCTGACAGATGTGCAAACTACAGCCTCTTGTTCAAAAAGAAAAAAAGGGGGAAAAAGATCTTGAGATGGCCCAAGGAATCTCAAATACAGAAGAAATGTAAGTTCTGGACTAGGAGGGAATTACTAAAGCCTGCTCCTGTTTTTACATCTGTGAGATCCAGTTCGGATGCCAAAAAAAAAAAAGACTGTTCCCAGAACGAGCCCATCAGGCTCTGGAGAACAGCGGCAGCACGTTCACACAGCAGATGAGCCAGGAGCGGCCGGGACCGCGTGTTCACAGTGAATGCTGCACAGCGCCCGGCCGGTTAGGGAGCCGGAAGCGGAGACCACCGAGGTAGGTAGCCATGCGCTGCTAACGCCATACATATGCTGTTACCAGCTAATTCTTTTTAATGAAGAGGTGCTGGATCGAGTGGAGTCAGCCAAATGTAATTAAAGCATCCTTTTGTGGCCCACCCTGGTGGTGCAGTGGGTTAAGGAGCAGCTGGCTGCTGCTTCAGCACGAGTTGGATCCCCACCCCAGAGGTGACCCACATGGCGCGGCAGACCTCTCCTGACCCGCCCGCTGCTCCCCTCAGCAGTGTACTTCATCAGTCGCCCTGTTCTGTTCCCCGCTCTGTCTCTGGTGAATCACCCCCCTGCACCTCTGGCCTGTACCCCAGTTCTATATGTATAAATAAGTCTTAAAAAACAAAAAGGACTCTAATATTTTTTTTAAAAAATCCTTTTGCAATTTGTGATCACTATGAGCAACGAGCAAGGTGAGTCCACCCCACCTGGATGCCAGCAGGTGAAGCATGTTCGCTTCCTACAGGTAAGTGAGGTGACAAACACTGAAAAGTACTGAATTCGACACGCTTTTCTGGCAGTAATTACCACGACTCCAATACAGGTAACTATTCGGTTTTTGCTGGCTTAAGTCAGAGCAGTAAGACGGTTCCTCCACATCTGAAGTGAAGCCGAACTCACGCACTGAGCCGGGGGCCACAAACACTGGGACGAGCAGGCGACAGTGCCTCGGGGTGTGAGACACTAGGACACTGCCCCGCCTGCTCTCACGGGGGGGGGGGGGGGGATCAACCTGGATCTTTCCTAATTGTGGGATACAGAAAAGTTGTTTCTTTCATTTCATCTTCACGTTGGGTCACATCTTTCTCTTCCAGAGGTAGACAGGCGCCACTCACACCCGCCAACCCCTCATGCCAATGCCCCTTCTGCCACCCTCCCCTCCCTGTTCCCTAAGAAACATCAGGAGGAACCAAATGCCCGAAGCCAGAACTGCCAGCTGCAGGACACACGGCCCATTCTGCCAGCAAGTCGACAGCACGTCAAGAAATAAAACAGAACGGAGGGAGGGCGGTTTCGAACGAGAGTGTTTAGGCTGCACACAGCTGGGCGCAACTGCAGACTCTGGCTCCTGATCTGAACAAACTGTATTAAATGATACTCTGACTCGTTTTAGTAAATCTACGGCGGGGACCGCAAAGGCTTTTATCAACAGGAGATACGTACGTATCGTTTTAAATGAAAAAGCTGCTCATGCTGCCACTTGGCTTTCTGAGGACTGTTCAGTGAGTTTCTCCCGGGCAGTCTGAGGATGGGGCCCCTGACCCACAACCAGGCTCAGGAGAAAATCACAGCCGCCACAAAGCCACCAGCAGCTTTCACGACACCCCCTTCCCGCTCTCCTCCTTCCCCTCCTCAGTCACAGGACTGAGGCAGAATCAGACAGTTTTAACTTTGGGTCACCCTGTTCTTAGCGTCCTGGCTGCTGCAGCTGAAGACTGGCAGACAAGTCTGGGGAGCCCACATGGAGGTCACTCACACACAAGATCCCAGATCACGGCTGGAAGTCTCTGGAAAGGGCCGCGCCCTCATGACGTCGAGGTCCGGGGACACGGAGACCCCCGCCCCCCACTGCCGTCAGACTGGCGAGCACCCGGCGGGGCAGGGCCTGCCCGCCTAACTCACCTTCCCGTGCTCCTTCCTCACGTGGGAAATGTAAACGTCCCGCTGGGTGAACAGGCGGTCACACTCCCAACACGTCCACCCAGGACTGGTCAGTTTCTTGGATTCCATGGATTTCTTGACAGGAGAGGGCGATTTCTTCTCCAATTTCTCTTTCCCATTCATGGATCTGGTGTCCTCTTTGTTTTGATTTGCTGAATTCTGAGTTGCAGGCTTGATGCTCAAAGGTAAGTTTATTCCCAGGTTTGGAGGTCCTTCAATGCTTTTCAACGTTCCGTGCATAGACTGTGTTACGAAAAGAAATGTCCGTCACAGATCACACCACTAAACGAAAGCCCGTGGGAACAATGGTAGATTCGTCAGAAGCATCTGTCAAAATACCAAGAAGGAAACCTACACAAAATATATATACTTAAAAGGAAAGACAAGGAGATGGAATTTGAGTTGCTGTGTTTCTAGTCCTAAATAATTTTTTAAAGCTTATTTGCTTGTATCATTTTAATATTCTTTGAAGACAGACTTCTGTATTGAGTCCAAATTACTCCTGGCACTCTGTGTTCCCCAGTTATCATAGTTAAGTCCTCCCTGTACCAGACCAGGCTGGGGCAGGACATTTTACTGCTCCTACCTGGAAACATTTAAATAGATGAATATACTGGCAGGTGTTCAACTTTACCAAGTACGTAAGGCCAATGTATTAACATCAAGCCTTTCTCCTCCCCTGCCGTCTTTTCAAGTACTTGTGAGATTTTAGGTTGAGGGTGGGTGATTTTAATTTCCTTACATCCCACCCCCAGATCACCAGACTCATGAACTAGATAGAAGCCCAAAAAGCCTGTTAAATTGCCCAGCTGTTTGATTACTGTTATTGCATAACAGCCACAACGGCAATCTTCAACTCAAATTTGCAGGGTCTCAGATTTGACTTGAGATGGCACCGGAACACCGAGCTGTGGAGAGCAGCTACGGTAGTGTGCTACAAGCACACACACTGCCGTCAGGCAAGTCAGCCCATGCCGCGTGCCTCCGCGCAGAACAGTTACTGAACGGGCCTCTCTCTTCGCCCGCTGCATGCCGCGGGGGGCCCGCGGCTGATCGCTCCAGGTGTAAAAGGAGCTCCGGAAAGCAAACACCTTAGAAGTCTCCAAAGCAATTTTCCTTTTTTCTTCCCCCAGCCCCACCTCCCATATATGCTAAAAACATGGAGGTCTAATTCCAGTATCCCTATGTTCCTAGTAGCAGTTTTTACTTTTTCCTGGTTGTTCGTTAACTAGTTAATGTCAAGATCATTCAGTCTCTGAACTGACCTTTCCTGCGCTATAATGTTAAAAAAGGGAGAAGTTCAGAGAGAGACTGAGCTCATGACAGCACTGGACCTGTTGCTTCTCTGTTCAGAAGTCAAGTCACTTTCACCTCTAAGAGCCGATGGATACTGTCTCCTAATCACACGAGGAAAATGCTTAACTGAGCGCAGTGCACAGTTAAGGGGCCAGGACGACTGTCCCAAGGGAGCTTAACAGGCTGCAGAGATTCAGGAGCCCGTCTGGGGGTTACAGTGGCTCGTCCATACCACACGCTTTATCCATTTCGTTACCTGGACACCCAGCAAGTGCCAAACACTGCAGTGTCCTGGATATTTCATGGTCACTTAATATGCAACCTGACAGGGGTGGGGGGACACAGAAAGGTCTAGAGACATCAAATAGAATGCAAATGTCAGGGATTACATAATCTCATGAGCAAAAACATTTTTCTAAGCACCCCCATATTTATACAAATTAACAAAATTCAGCACAGTCCCTAACTATATTTGTATCTCACACAGTATCAACTTCTCAAAAAAAAAAAAAAAACCCCAAAACTTCACAGTCGTTATTTTCACTTGCAGAAAGACCAGAGTTCTATTATTTTATTACTCTTTTAAAACCGGGGCATGCATTTGTTACTTCGCATTGGTCTTTCATGGCACGCAGAACAGGGGCAGGAATAAAGAGCACCCTCCATCAGAGAACGCGACCGCCTGTGGTAAACTGCTGGCCACATCCCACCCCAGCAACCGTGGCTGTGGCATCTGCAGCTCAGCCTTGACTCTGCACGATGAACGAACGTGCATTTCACTAAAAGGGCACGCGGTGCGCACACACCTTGATGTGGTCCATCATGAGTTGCTTCTGTGCATATAAAAGAGAACAGTCTGGACACTTGAAGACGGACACCTTCTGGTTTTCGATGTGTTGGTCAAAGTGACGATACAGCAGTGTTTGCAGGGTGAATACCGTGTCGCACATGGAACACTTATATATTATTCTAAAACACAACAAGTGCATGAAAACATCAGTCAACCCTCGTCTCCAAGGCAATGCAACTGCCACTTCACATCTCAAGAAACCAGGAGGCAAAAAGCAGTGAGAATATGCAAACAAGGTAAATCGTACACAACAGCTTTGGAATTGATGTTGGAAAGCAACTGGCATCAGTCAAATGCAGATCGCTCTTAACACTTTGGGTAAAGATGCACGACCCACATCTGCTCAGCAGCCCAAATTAACACCGCTGTACAGATCTACCGCTGACATTTTTATAAGGACTTCACTCATTAGTCGATTGAACGCTGGACAAAAGCACCCAACCTTTTTTTTTTGAGGGACATTTATAGGACACATGTAGCTTAATGGTGGTACCTTAGTTTGAAGAAGAACTTGATTCATGACCTAAGTAGGCTCACTCAACTCCAATGCCAGAATAAGCTGTTACTTGTCCAGTATCTAGAGTTAGTCACAATTTTATGCTGGAACAGCAACATTTCTTTAACCATTCTTTACACAGGAAACCCTATGCCAGAAAACTATTACACATGGACGTCCAAAAATACCGCAGTTTCTACACGCAGTATCCAGTGTGCTTTAGATGGCCTGAACTGCCGGCTGTCACCCCACACCAGCCTGGCCTCTAGGGCGTTTCTCTGAGCAGCCCCTGCCCCGGCCCAGCAGATCCAACCTGCTGAACAGTCCCCCACTGTCCCCACGCTATGCATCAACGTGGCCTCTGAGGCTGGAAGTGCAGTCGGGATGAGAAGAACCCCAGCCTAGGCCTCCGGTGGGCTGGAGGGTCACTCGCAGACACCCCTGCCACAGGTCCCCTGCAGTAACTGCTCCCTGTCACCCTGGTCCTGCCAGGGGCCTCGGGCCTCCATGTCTCCTCTGAAGACCCATGGACAGAGATGTACAGAAAGCTACTGAGCAGCCTGGGAAAGGGTAAGAGAGAAACTGAAAGACAGAAAAAAGCCAAGGTGACATTTCTACAGCAACACGGGAGAGGAAGATCTTGTGCCGATCAGGGCCGTAAGGGAGCGTGTCTCACGTAACCTTCACAAGGTTGTGTGTCTGTCAAAACCACAGAGGTGACTTTTTCCGCAGGTGTGTACATAATGGTCTGAGTGACACATGTTTCTGCCATGTCTTGACATGTTGTGTGAGCATAGGGCACACTCGGGTGTGTGTGTGTATCAGACAGGGTTTAGGGGACTTAACAGCTCCAAGGTGACACACCATGATGTGTCTTCAACAACTTCCAAGTGTAACACAATGTTCCCCCCCCCCCAATTATTACACAGCAAAGACAGTGGAAGATTCTCATGAAAATTTAAGCAACAGGTAACAAAACAGAGGTATATGTAACCCCATCTATTTTTAAGGGGTGAGGGATAGAAATAGAGGTGCATGGAGCCACCATCCTCCCTATTGGACGATAACACATGGTTGTTCCCATTGCTTTGCTTATCTATACATTTCCTGGTTTTCCTACAGCCAGCGTGTCACAGTAAGAAGAAAAAAAAAGAACTAAGATTTTCTAGCAAGGCTAAGAATTTTCTCTGAACTCTGTAACCTTACATTTTCAGCCAATAGTTCATGGAAAAAGGCTTTGCTCATTTTGCACCTGCCATCTTCCTTTGGGGACGGGTTCTGGTTGTCTTGCTATGTTGCATCTACTCAACAGATAGAAAGTGCAAACAGGTTATAACGTATCTTGTGGGGAACAGGCTGCTGGTCCAGTGATAGAATGTCAACCACAAAATGGTAACAGATAGGAAGGGGTTAAGTGGTGATTGTGGGTGGAAAGGTCTGACACCAGTGGACTCGAGTGGTCACCGGGAGGTCACATGCTTGCCGCAATGTGACTTGAGAAGACAAGAAAGCAGTGAGGCCTGGGGGTGGGGCCATGAGCTGGGAGACACAAAGCAACTGCTCCAGGTGGAGGAAGCTGAGACTCAGCAACTCAGTGTAAATCGTGCTCCTGGATAGGATTCCAGACCAGAAAGGATTTAAAAACAAAAAGCTCTGGGCCCTCCCTGGTGGTGCAACAGGTATCAGCACAGCACCACACAGCCTCTTATGCACGAGTTCGATCCCCGGCCAGAGAGCTGACCCACATGGCGCGGCAGACCTCTCCTGACCCGCCCGCTGCTCCCCTCAGCAGTGTGCTTCATCAGTCAGCCTGTTCTGCTCCCCACTCTGTCTCTGGTGAGTCTTCTCACAGCCCCTGCACCTCTGGCCTGTACCCTAGTTCTGTATGCATAAGTAAATAAATCGTAAAAAGAAAGCAGCTCTGTCTCAACTATTGGAGAGATGTTAATGGGATCTATGAATTGGACACTAACACAGTCGGCACCCCTTCCTGCTGGGTAGGGCTCCCTGGTGTTGATGGGTCCATGGCCAACTTCGGGGGAGAAGCAGGACTTACGCGAGCGCATCTGTCATGGTGCCCCCTTATTCCAAAATATCTGCAGTATAGAAAACAGTATGTATCGATTTTAAATTGGCGCTAATATTTAAAAGAGCCAACATAAAGGCACCGTGCTCTGTGAGGAGACACACAGGGACGGGACATGGCGCTGGAGCAAACTCCACAACTATAACGGGAATGCGCCTGGCCAGTGCCTGGCAGAGGGGAGGGAAGGCGCCGGGGGTGAACCAGCCTCAAGGTCCGTCTTCGCTCTGTATGCAAGACTGAGAGCAGCAGGGTAATCACACAAGTGGGGGCGCACAGAAAAGGTGAGGGGAGGCGGGGAGAAGGAACAGAAAGCTAAAACGTTCACACCGAGGCAGAGCCAACTTCCAACCACCACACCGCCCAGAACAGAGGGCAACCCTTGACATAAACGTAAACACAAAGGATTCAAAGCTCTGAAAACACACCACGAATCTCCTGCATTACCAACACATGGGCCAAGGAGGCACGAAGCACGATCCCCAGCATCGCTTGGCCCCCCCAATCCTCATGGCTCCATCAGCGAAATTGCAGATGGGAGATCAGACGCCGGAGGTGAGAGAAACTGCTTGGGGTGACGTGAACTCCAGCCGTGGTTCAAAGTCAGCTTCTCCCGCCCCCACGGTCCTCTCCTGCACTGCTGTTATTATTTTGTGTTTTATTCCTTAGAACTTGTTCATAAACGGCCTCTTGTACGATTCTTCATGCCGAAGTTCTCGTTTCTTTACTTAAATACATGCAAATGTGGCCAAAAGAAAGGAGGTGCCAGGGGACAAAGAAACGACTGCTGATGATGTCGAGGACACGCGAGAAACAGACACAGAGCTGCAGCACCTCCAAATCCAGTGACGGAAACTCAGCATGATCTCGAAGTGCCCGGGAGAGAGGAAAAGGTGTTTCAGGTTTCCCCGCAGACGGGAGGGGAGCATGCCTGACCTTCACACTGGAGAACCAGAAACGAAATGCCGGGACGGTGCCTGGCACTCGGCGAACATCACGAACGTCTGTTCAACACAGCGCTCGGGTCATGCTTTTCAAATTGAGGAACTGGGACTGCCAGACTCATGGGTACAGCTTCACACTTCCCTATATTCTCTGAAGAGAGGGGGGAGGAGGGGTTTTTACATGGATCTTGAGAAGTTCATGTAAATCACTGCCAAGTCCTAGGTATCACTACGTGCTCAGACAACACTCGCAAGGGATGTCACCTCCTTAGAGTCCGCTGCGAGGGGGCTCCTGAATTAGCCCCGGCGAGTCAGCACAGCCCCGGGTTTGCAGCCAAAAAGAAGGTTCTGGGGTCAGAACACCTGGCCTCCCAGTGTGGCTCGAGAAGGAAGATCTCCGCCAGCCGGAGCCACAGCGGGAGGGAGGGGGCCCCGGGCAGGCCACGGAGCAGCACCTGTGGCCACAGCCAGGCGGACGCTGGGCCTCATCCAGCCAGTGAATGGCCTGAATAAAGCTGTCAGCTGAAACTCACTGGCTCTGGAGTACTGTCGCAGTTTGTTTGTAAGATGCTTTTAGCTTTGTAGTTTAAAACAGAGTAGCTAATGTCCATCTTTACTTTTGGTCTTTGTTAAAGAACAATGTAGTTAAACACACACACAAATTAAGATAAGAAACATTGGGATCATTTCCCCCTAGGTATTATTCACATGTAAGGAATATAGTCTTCTTAGCTTATTTTGATCATGAACTGGCCTGTATTCCCACGCAACTACTCCTGTTCCCGATTTCACGCATATTTCAGTGAATACAGAACCACACCAGAACTACTGACGGGGGCGGGGAGGAGGCCGTGCCCGTGTCCAGCAGGGGAACTGTGTGAACACGGAGCACGTTCACTGGAACTTACTAACATCCATCCTTGGAGTCAAGACACCAAATTGTACAGGGGTCCCCCAATTTGATTTGTTTCATCTTGAGCATCTCTGAAGATCAGAGTAAAGGTTCTATGAGACTCAAATCCCATTTTATCACAGATGTGTAGTAAACAGAGCCAACACTGACAATGTTCTGTTGAAAACACCCCCCGATACACAGAACGTGTGTGCCTGCACACCTGCTCTCTGATACGCCTCGATCATGGCGTTAAGGGCAGAAACACCTCTAGGCCTGGACAGCAGCCCTGGCTTCCACGATGGCCCGATATCGCCCACCATCAACAAAACAGGAATAAAGCGAACTTAGCCCAGTGCACCTGAGGCAGAGTGCATGCGGCAGGCGGGAAGGGAAGCTGGGGTGCAGCCCACGTAGACGCCCCCCACACACAGTGGGGGCCACTGTGCTGCTCACTCGGGCCCAGCCCGTCTCACCCTCACACACCGGTAAGCATTACCCTCCCTTTAGAGGGGAGAACGCAGAGGTTGAGACAAACTGAGGGCGTTCCAGTCCGGGGTTAGGGGGGGTGGCAGGTGCCAGGGAGCAACATTCTGGCTCTGCAGCCCCCTTCTCTTTGCTGAGTCACCCCCCTGCAGGGCTGTGGGCACGCCGCTCCCAACAGCCTCCTGAAGTGACACTTCACGGCCGAAGACCCAAGAGAGAAAAGACTGACAAATTTAAGAGCCAGATTAAGGCAAAAGTGAAAGTTTTCTTTAATGAGCAAGGACGTGAGCTGGCTATGAAGTTAAATCCTGTGACTGGATCTTCAGTGGACTGCTCAAAGTGCTACCATGCAAAGGGTCTTCTGTAGGAAAGAAGCTGGGAAAGTTTAAAGCTAAGTGTACGACTGTCCTGTGACTTTCTTGGCAAATGTTCACTGGTTTGGCAAAGTCCGATGACAGGAGCATGAACAGCAAGTGACACTCCTGGTGGAAGAGACTTCACCTGGTGGAACTGACAGTCTCGGCCAGCCGGGAGCGGGCTCTGCAGCGAGCAGCGTCAGCAGGGCGACCGAGTTCTGGCCACAGCACTGCCTCCTCCTCGGAATCACTAACGGAGAGTCTAAAGGCAGGTGGGGCCCTCCCTGGTAGCGCGACGGGTTCACGTGCAGCACGCGGAAGCATACTGCAGCCACTTCACCTCGAGTTCGATCCCTGGCCAGGGAGTGACCCACATGGCACAGCAGACCCCTCCTGTCTCCCCGCTGCTCCCCTCAGCAGTGTACTTCGTCAGTCAGCCTGTTCTGCTCCCCGTTCTGTCTCTGGTGAAGCCTCTCACCACCCCTGCACCTCTGGCCTGTACCCCAGTTCTGTATGCATAAATTTAAAAATATTTTTTAAAAAGGCGGGGTGACTTACTTTGGCTCTCCTATCTTGATGCCCGGATGCTGGGTGTAGGCATGAGAATGTGTGCTTGGGGCCGACTTAAACGCCATGGGACAGATAGGACACTTGTAGAAGACCTCACAGTGCGAGCCCTGGATGTGCGACTTCAAGGCGGCCACGTCAGAGTACACGACGTTGCAGTGGACGCACCTGTGAGGAACAAACGCAGGCCATTAGCACGAGCCCGCCGGCAGTGGGCGGCGTCAAACTGGGCAAAGAGCACATGTTGTAGCTCTAAGTTCCTAATGGCTTTTTGAAAGTGTGTCTTGTTCTTTTCCTATTGGTAACAGATCAAATGACTTTCATGCATCCAGGAAGGAAGATCCCATGGCATATAAAAGCTCAAACAGCCTGATTTCTGAGCACCTTTATAAAGTTTCCAGGAATGAAGGTGCAGACTCAAAAAGGCAGCGAGGCCAGAGGGTGGTGGGCGCCCTACCGCACCCCAGGACAACCCTGCCCTGGACCCAGCGGCCCCAGGCTCTTGGGAAGACCCACAGGCTGCACCTGAAGTTCCTACCCTTCCCAGATACCTACGAGGCAGCTCCTGGTGACAGGATCCTCCCGCCGCTCAGGCTGTCACCAGGAGGAGAAGCAAGCTCGGTGCCCAGCCACAGCTACTGTGCCCTGGGCACCAACGCTGGGAACCCAGCACCATCGGTTCCCTGGAGGCTAGAGGGCCCGTCAGGTGGAGGAGGTCAACCACCGTGATGTTCTCCATGAAAAGAGATTTTAGTGCACTTGAATTCATTTAAAAAGTGATATGAATTGCAAACTTCTGAAAACTGCCTCTCTAGCTAACCTCTTTTCAGGTTTCTAGCAATTTTCTTAGCCCATTGTCATCCAAATCTAGTCTGACAGAAAGAAACTTCAAACAAAGCTCCACTCTCCCCAGCGTCATCTTTCTCAAGCAAGGCTCAGCAGCAGTAAGCACATCCACTTGAGACTGCACGGCTCTTTGTTCTCATCTGAGAACAAAGCAGGGGGGGTCTCTGCAGGCTCCCAGGCACTGACAGACACACCTTTAGGACGCCTGACAGGTGAGAGCTGACCTGGGGAAGAGGTCTGCGGGCCAGGCCTGCCTTCCGGAGACCGTGCTCAGGGCCTTGTACGTGAACCTAAGACACTTCGTAGCGTCTCCCTTCCACACTTGTGACTGTGCTTCCAGAATCACCCAGAGGACAGGCACACTCTGAGCGGTGTGTTCTCTAAAGCATGCCACTTTACGCTCAGCCAGCATTTGATTAAAGTCATAATGAATGCAATCGCGTTAATACAGACATGCAAATAAAAGGTAAGTTTCCAGTGACTTACGATGTAGTGCTCAGCAGCACAGGCATTCAAAGTGCAAAATACCAACAGAAGGACATGAAAGCTCCTCTATCCTTTCTACTTGAGCTATTACTTCAGGCAAAAAGCTACCCGAGCATAAAAAGGTATGTTGGCTTAACTTGAACCTGATTGTCTTGTAGAAGTTTGTGATCCTTTTTGTGGGTTGGTTTCTCATTTACAGAATGGGAAGAGTCGGACTAGGTCGTTTTTTTTAAATCCTTCTGACCCCTAGCAGCCCATGAGTCCTATGAAAGAGAAACACTACAAAAATTTTTTAAAATAACAACAATTGAGTCACTAACTAAAGAATCCTCTATACCATGAATCATAATCAAAAGATTTTCCCCCTCATTGGTGGGGTTCAGAAGGCGAATGTCCAAGGAGGGATGAAGGGCTGTTCTCCAAAGCCTCGTGGAGCGAGGGGAGACCTGATCGCAAGCCCGAGGCAGGATGGGATGTGATCCCAAGGCTGCCAGGGTTTGGTCCACACAGCATCCCTGAGGCCCAGGGAAACCCTCCTTAACTGAGAAAACAAAGCCGAGAATTTCAGAAGAACTGAAGAGAGGAAACGATAAACTATCTGCTTATAGGTGGAAGACAGGGTTCAGGATCCAGAGGCCAGGAAGGAATCAGAGACAGACGGCAGAAGGCAGAATCTGCACAGTTCCGACGGCATCCCAATGCTTCTCAAACTGCAATCTAGTAATAAATATTTAATATACCTGAAGTCCTTTGTATTCTTGAGATCGATCAAGTGTTCTTTTTAACTTTAAAAAAAAAATGCTGACAGTACACAATGCCATAATTCCCCTTTCAAGATGCAGGTAGAAATACCGAAAGCAGGAAATTTCTGAGGAACATCTGACTTTTGCCAAATTAAGCAGGAGCTAGAAGTGACCCCGGCAGTATCTGGGAAGCGCAGCAGGACCAGGCAGAGACAGGAGGAGCCAGAGAACTGGGAGGAGACAAAGGCAGGAGCTCACTCAGACTCCTCGGCTAAAGCAAACTGAGAAAGATCCAGCACAGGGCCAAATCCGAGGGGAGCGTGGCAAGGCCCGGCTGCCGCGCCTCATCAGATACTAGATGAAAACGTGTTCTGAGACAGCAGGGGCAGACTGTTTTCATCTAAAGCAGTAAATATTTTACAGCTCTTTCAAGCCTCAAGACTGGGGGGGAAGCCTCCATGAAACACCAAAATTTAAATAAACTCAAAGAGTCAAATTTAAGCAAATCTGTGAATGTGGAGAGGGAAAAAAGGGTGGGTGGGAGTGAGCTTTTCCAGTGAGTTGATCACTCTGGCCCGTCTGCAGCGCTCCTGACCCAGTTCAGAAAGTCCAGCAGCAGCTAGCCTTAAGTCGTGCTTCCTTCAGCCACCGCAGGCCAAGTTTACTTTCATTTTATTAGAAAAATAAAATAAGTATCTGAGGACAACATGGCTTCACCTAGAACTACTTTCTATTATTAAAAAGTCTAGTAATAATTGTTGCAAAACATGGAATAAGAACCAAAGATGCCCGTGCCTGGATTTCAGAGTCCAGGGAGCCCATGATGGGTAGCACCCCAGGAAGCACTTAGCACGCGCTGACACCCTCCTTCCTGACACCCGGGGGGAGGCATCACACCAGCCTCACGTGGCACACGGTGGCAGCACAGAGAGGGACTCTAGTCACCGCAGGGCCAGCGGTAGAACTGGCCCCAAGCCTCTGGTTCCTCAATTTCCAAACCACAGGTCCTCTACTGGGGTGCACTCTGCTCCAGTCAGTACAGGCTGGGGGTGTGAGGTAAAATGAAACAAGTCTCTTTCAGTGTCAGAAAAACAGACAGCGCCACCCTGGAATCAGGACCATGATGCCATAACCTAAATTTAGCTGAAATAAAACTATCAAATCATACCAACCAGACTTCATTTTTATGAAACACTGTATGACAAGTGAAAAAAAAAACAAAAAAAACACTACTAACAGTCTAAATTTAAGCTACCAGGCAACCAAACCCAAGTTAAGAGAACCACACAGTACAGTAATACCTCCATTAACAAAGACACTGCACCACTGGTTGGCCCTTCACCAGGCCAAAACAGGAAAGCCCAGGAATGAATGCATTTGGGGAGGTGCCCAGTTCTGATGTTCGCTGAATTAATGCTGGATTTGCCCGAGGATCAGCGAGAATCTCAGGGAGGCTCTTTAAAGGGCTGTCCCCAGAGGCCAGTGAGGCCTGGGGCAGGTGGTAGAGGAGAAGGAGAAATCAATCAACAGTTGCTCGAAGGCTCCTGCTGCTGGACACACAGACCTGCTCCTTCAACAGGACCAAAGGCCCTCACACCCCTTGCTTTGATTAGAGTCCTAATGCAGAGGTACAGGGATGCCTGGGATTCCTGAGGGGTGAGGCTGCAGACAGCAGGCTGGAGTAGCCCCAAAGGTCCATCATTGTCAAAGCCACACCTGCGGCAGGAGGGCAGGCGCCATAGCTGTGGGCCTGGTGGGGACTCCAGGGGCTTGTTAATCGAGGTACCACTGCATGACCCTGAATGGTACGAGCACAGACCATCCAAGCGCTGTGCAACCGGTTAGCAGCGAACAAGCTTTACTCGCAGGTAAGGAACAATATACTGACCGAAAACCAACTCTCCGCGTGTAGTGCAGGCAGTTCTTGGTGACGTGTGTCTGGAAGTGCACCGACCTGCAGATGGCCCCGCACTCGGGGCAGGTGTAGGGAGATTTGTGCTGGTGGATTCTCTGGTGGGACGCATAGCTGCACTGGTTAGGAAGCAGCATCTGGCAGATAGTGCAAGTCTTCTAAATAAACCAAAGGGGGAGACAGGTTGGTCCTCACAGAACTTTCTAATATGCAGAGACATGTGGTTCAGCTCAGCATCATCATACATCGCCCGTTTCAAACACTCCTGTAGTGTCAGAGACGCAAAGCCCAAGAACAAAGCAAATGTGACAGTTACAGGTTCAGGGTAACATTCCTGATCTTGCAAAATAAAAATTCTATGTGCTTGGTAGTCAGACTCACCCCCGAGACCGAGATAAAGAGAATGTCAGTTTTCGGCCACAGCCTAGTGTTTCACTCATGCTTTTGTATAGTGTATGTTGGGGGGGGGGAGGGGACGTGTTATTTTCGCCAGTGACATCAGCACATCCACGTGAGCGTGTGACGTTGACGGGCATCTGTCTTGACGGTAGTCATAGACCCCACATCACCTAAGAGAACTTTCAAACTCATAAAATTTACTTAGGGACTAATCTACTTTTCTTTGTCTTTAGTCACTTTAGTTATTTTAAATATGAGACACAGGAATGCAAAAAAATGGCCACAGCAGTTGGCTGGGGTTTTTGGCTCTTGGTCTTAAAATGGATGAACTGTTCATTACATGATTTATGATTAAAGCCAATGAACTCAAGTTCAGATACACAAATTTAGTATTAAAGTGAAATTTGGTAATAGTTTTTTTTAAAGATCTGATCACATATAAAATGAAGACTGAAATCCTCTTTTGAAAAGGCCTACATAATTAACTACCCAGGAAATACTCAAGCATACTATTTGGATAGAAACACTAAACAAGGCCTATTTTTAAAACAATATGAACTGATGACTTGCTACTTGCACTCTAAAAATAAACCTGATAGCATGATAAAAATCTGTTTGACACTACTAAGATATTCCTACAACTTATCTGCTACCTTTTAAAAAGTACAACTTATATTCAAGTAATTATAAAATTTCAAAGTATAAATTCTACCAAACATGTAAAATAATCATACTGACATCAGTTATAAAATTTTAAACACACTTTTATCAATTCTTTTAGCACTTAAAATTAAGCTCCAAAATTGTGATTTAAACTTTAGACCAACAGGGAACTCACTTGAAAATTCTTTCTTGGTTTTCTCCTGAAAGGACTTAAATACACATTTTAACCCATAAAATGTTTATTGTAATTACAAAATAGGAACATTACAGGCAGCTTTGATGAGGTTAGCATCATTAAAAAACAGCATTCCTTTTCTAATAACATATATTCCAAAGGTTAAAACAAGCCAGAACAAGGAACCCGGTCAGATAGTCCTTAATTATAAGACCCTGCGGGCATCTGCACCACCAGTGATGTCATCTGTTGATGGCAACTAGCCCTGTACCCACCTGCACCACAGTCCTACAGCCCGGCAGTGGGTCAGGATCTGAATTTCCACAGGCATCTTATCTTGTACTCACTTGGTGAATCAAGCCAGTATTTTCTATACTAAAAAACCATTTTACATACATGTGTTGACCCCAGTTCACCGTGGGCCAGGAGGTGAGCCAGCAAACAAGTAAATCTCAGCACTCTGTCATTTAATTCTTATTATAATCTAATAGACAGATATTGGCTCCACTTTTTGGAATAAGAAATGAGGCTTAGAGAAATGAGACTGGGCAAGGCCCCACAGCTGTGAAGGGTAAGAACCAGGACTAGAACTGGGCCCTGAGCAACTCCAGGTCTGAGTGGAGGGTTGTGAGGGTGGAGTTAAAAGAGCAAACACAAGTTCACCGCAACAACCTGCAGCAGACACACCTGGGAGCAGGGAGAGCAGTGCCCACCTCCCTCCACCTAAAGCAAGGTGGTTACACTCCTTGTGTAGCAGGAAAAACAGCACCAAGTTAAACAAAATCTAACTGAGGAAACAAAGTGAAAGCGTTGCTCTAAAAGCTGGAAACAGTTTTTGTATTAGTTTTCAGCAAGGTTATGTCAACAATTACCTTCACAATACATGTAAAATTCACAATGAGTTACTGAAATAGTCATTCTCTTTCGATGCCTGCAATGCATCTATAACAGCTCTGAGATATGCTGGTAGGTGAAAAGATCTCGCTACTGTGAGGTTGACTGAAACAAGCATGAAATGAATTTTAAGACAAGCTTTTATGGATCATCACAAATGTTCTTTACAGCAGCGATCTCCGACTTGTGCAAAGAGTATTGGGGTTACTGAAACACCAGTATCTCCATACCAACCTCTCCCCTACCAGGTCCTGGTGAGGGGCAGGCTAGTTGGAGGTTCCACAGACTCCAACCCCTACCCGGTGCCTCCCGACTGTAAGAATTTGCACTCATCCTCTTCAGATATCAAAGTACAAGGAGAGAGTGGGATCCAGTCTGACTTACAGCCCCTAACCAAAATGCTTTCATTTTTGCAATTACAAAAATAAGAAAATTCAGCCACCGGGCTGTAAGTTGAATAAACACCTTATCTTTATACACCAATGCACAAAATTCACGCACACAGGACATACTCCCACATTTCTTCTCACTGACCTGCTCCTACCCCATTTAAGAAGAGCAAGCCACGTTGGCTGTGGGCCTGCTCCAGAGGCTGATGTGCCAGCAGCAGCTGTGAACTCACGATGACGTTAACGCAAGGTGCTCCCTGCCTTCCAGTTGTGCTCCTGGACCTGCTTTGGGTATGTGCTGTCCCTGCGTCCCCTGATAGTGATGATGCGCATTCTCAGCACAAGCTGTCTCCCACCAGCTCCCCTGGGGTTCTGTGAGCTCGTGGCAATGTCACACGGTCTCAGGATTTGGAGCAGCCGTATCTGAGCAACAGGGCAGGCTGGATTTCTTACAGTCAGAAAGAATCTGACTTCCCCTCCTTTTACTTAACTGATTTTGAAGCAAACTAATATGTACCTTAAATAACATTACAATGTAGCTTAAAACGCTTTACAAGTTGATGCTTATACACAAAGCAGTGTGCTATACCTGCCTTTTTAACACAAAGACCGTGTAACAAGGCACATAAATGGTTCTCTGGATTTCCTGACATTTTACCAAGGTCACTGGAAGATGGACAAGTGTTTCCAGGGCCTGAAAAACAGATAATTTCCATTCTGGGACTGACTCATTTACTCATCTAGCTCTGGGACTGAACCAACACTTTCAAACGTTAAAATAATAACTTTCAATATTCAGGTAAAGGGAGAAAGCTACAGGAAACCAAAGCTGAAGGTAATTACACTCCATACGTGACAGCTGCTGGGCTCCCTCCCCTGCCCAGACCTGGCCTGAAGATAAAGGCTGGCCCTGGGCTGCAGGCTGGGGGGCTGGGGGGTGTGTCTGGGGGCAGGGGAAGGGCCGGGATGGCAGCTGGGCTGGCACTGTCCTCTCTGGGCATGGGAGGGATCAGCTGAGCAGCAAGGCAAATTATTCTGCGAGTTTCAGCTCATCTTTTAGGAAGAAAAGAAATGCTGGGGGAGGATGAAAAGGCCTAGAGAAATGTGGATAAATGCAGCATATACTTATGCTTACATTTCAAATAGACCGAAAGCCTGCAGCACCCGGAAACTCCGGATCGAAAGGTCAAAAAGCTACCCGTTTAACAGTCAGCCAGATGCTAAATTGCTTCTGCTTCATTAGCAGCAGTTGCATCATCTTCTATCCATGGTATAATTACAGAAGAAAAAAAAAATTAAAATGTATACCTGCTTGTTTTCTGGCTTTCAGCTACCCAGGTTCACAAGGAGAACACAGAAAACGCACTTCCCTTCAGATCTCACTCCCATGCAAGCGCCAGAGCAAGTACCCGGCCTGAAATGACTGCGTGCACCCTTTGTTCCTAATGCTGCTGGCCGTACCATGGTTTTATCCTTAATTCATTCAGTAAGCTGAAAATCCCTCGTAAAAGTCGGCAGTGAACTGAGCAAAGGTGCAGGAAATGTTATGGTCCACACACACACAGGCTACCTGGATGATCGTCATTACAAATGACAGGTATTCGACTATTACCTATTTTGGCAAATGCAGCTAAGGCGGGAGCAATTAACCTGAAAACATAACCTAGATATTATGCCAAGGCTAGTCTGACCAAAATTGAAATTAAGCACTAAGGAAAGCAGGGTCAAAAAGCAAACAGCCAATTTTGGAGCAGCGGAGGGACAGAGGCCGGCAGGGGTTCTGAAAGAAACTGCTTGAGCAAGGCGTGTCTAGAATGAGGGTGGCAGGGGTTGCTTGGGGTGATTTAATATACTTACTGTATTGTTAATGACACTCAGAAGGTGTCTGAAGCTAAACTGAGCCAGCAAGCTCTAAAAATGAGAACCACAAGCTGGGCCTCCCTGGTGGCCTCGGGTTAAGCCTCAGACCTATCACTGTGAGGGCCCATCGTGATGGCCTGAGTTCGAGCCCCAGCCAGGGAGCTGACCCACACGGTGCAGCAGACCTCTCCTGTCCTGCCCGCTGCTCCCCTTAACAGTGTGTTTCAGTAGATCTGCCTTTTCTGTTCTGCTCCCCACTTTGTCTCTGGTGAATCCTCTCACCTGTCACAAAATAAAAATCTTACAGTAAAGGAAGAATGAGAGAGGAGAGGGAGAGAAAGAACCACTGCAGGTAAGTCACCTTTATCTGCACTCTTAGAAGCTGATCTGGAGGTAACCCCCAAGGTCCAGACTCACATCATTCTGTTGGGAAAAAAAAGGAGACAGCAGTCCTAAAATGGAGTCACTTATGATGCAAAGCCCCACATCAGCAAAATGTCACACTGTCTTCCTCTCCCCGAAACGTAACCTTAAAAGATAATGTGGAACTACCTGGTCTGTACCACCCCGTCAATCGGCCTGATGGGCCCCCCCATCCCCTAAGAGAAGATGAGCTGGTTTGAGACATTCACGCTCTTACCTGCCCATCTGCAAGCGCCTTCCATTTCTGTGCAGCTACTTGGGGCCCCTTTCTACTTGCTAGATGGACAGGATGTGGCCCGGTCCCTCCCTTAATCACGCAGTCAAGCCAACTTAAATTCTTTACTCATTCGAATTA